TGCGATATATCGCCTCACTTACAGCATTGCGATATATCGCCTCACTTACAGCATTGCGATATATCGCCTCACTTACAGCATCGCGATATATCGCCTCACAGCATTGCGATATATCGCCTCACTTACAGTATCGTGATATATCGCCACAGTATCACGATATATCGCCTCACTTACAGTATCGCGATATATCGCCTCACTTACAGTATTGTGATATATCGCCACAGTATCACGATATATCGCCTCACTTACAGTATCGCGATATATCGCCTCACTTACAGTATTGTGATATATCGCCACAGTATCACGATATATCGCCTCACTTACAGTATCGCGATATATCGCCTCACTTACAGTATTGTGATATATCGCCACAGTATCACGATATATCGCCTCACTTACAGTATCGCGATATATCGCCTCATATTATCGTGATATATCGCCTCACTTACAGTATCGCGATATATCACCTCACTTACAGTATCGCGATATATCGCCTCATATTATCGTGATATATCGCCTCACTTACAGTATCGCGATATATCACCTCACTTACAGTATCGCGATATATCGCCTCATATTATCGTAATATATCGCCTCACTTACAGTATCGCAATATATCGCCTCACTTACATTATTGCGATATATCACCTTGCTTACAGTATTATTAGTATTATAGTGACCTGTATCGTGATATGTATCATATACCAGGTCTGCTAACTGTGAGTCAGCAGAACTGTTTCAGTTTTCCTTTTGAATATGCCCCTCCCCCGGCACGTTTACAAAATGTCCTCTGCAACCCTGATAAGGAAACAGAAAATGGTAAATTCTAATAAATAAATCAATGARGTGAAAAGATAAAAAGAGTGGTCTGGATGTGTTAAAGTACATTTTCTCCTTTTTACTTCAGAAAGTGACTCTGGAGTCACACCCTTACATTTGGTCTGACGCTCCACAGGCAGTTGCTGCATCGGGGCAAGCAGGCCTCTTCAAGCTGTCAACTGTGGAGATTTTTGTGTGTGTGTGTGTGTGTGTGTGTGTGTGTGTGAGGGGGCGGGGGGGGTTGCTCCACCTGGCACTGCTGCCATGTGCCAGACAGGTGGTGGAGAGGAGAGAGGGAGCAAGAAGCGAGCAACAGAGCAGAGAGGAGAGGCAAAGAGAAAAGAAACTGGAAAAGGAAATAAAATGGAAACATGGCGCCTGGCTGTCACTCAGAGCGACACATGTGACCCTTTAGAGGGCACAGTGTGTGTCTGTGTGTGACAGAACACACACGCCACCGCGAGGATCTCTCACAGTAAAAGTTTCAGCTCTTTCTGCTCCACATCAGATGGGATCAAATTCCAACGGAAACTCTAACATTTCTCACAGATTCTCTGACCTCCTGCTCCTTCTCGGGGTCTTTGGGGACCCCCGAAGCACCCGACATCCCTCTGAACACAACAAATCAAAACCTAGTAGCCGCCTAAATCGAGAAATGAGTTGTTTTAGTCCAACTGTGAGGATAATTCTCAGCTACCACCAGATTTTAGTTCAATATTTGTGTTTTTAGTCGTTTATGRGTTTAAAGTGGATTCTCTGCAGCAGCCAACTTTAACGGTTATTTAGTTTTAGACGTACGTCTAGTGGCTGCTTCCTGAAAGTTTTAGGACCAAACCTAAACCTGCTGGTTTTAAAAGTCCAAATGGAGGTGGTGGGGTTGAGCGGTTGGCCACGACACAAAAGGATCCAACGAAGTACGCCTCGATTGGCTTCATTGAATATTCATGACTAATTARGGCCCCTCGTTCATCGGCCCCCCCTCTCTGCCGGCTCCATTGTGTCCCTCTCACCTAATTATTCGTGACAATCAAAGCTCTGGTTCCCCTGGATACTGCTTTGTAAAAATAAATAAATAAAAACCCAGAGAAGAAAGCGCCGCTGGCTGTCTGAACGACCCCGGGACGACGGCTCAGGTCACGCCGTCGTTTCGTTCGACGAGGCASGACAAAACAAACAAAGCGTGAAGAAGAACACGTGTCGAGGCCGAAACGTACCCGGCATGAAGGTGAAGCCGCCGGGCAGCTGCATGACTCCGGCGGAGGCGCCGGRGGTCTTCAGGACGGTTCCGTTGGCGCTGATGTTGCTGTTGGCCGAGACGGGGGCCAGGTAGTTGGTGATGGGGAACGAGGGTCCGCTGCTCACCTGCATGGTGGTGGACGTGGTGGGCGCCGTGCACGGGGCGCTGCTCGTGGTGCCCGGCAGGCTGGCCACCGTGAACGTCGGCTTCAGGGTGTCCTGTTGGGGGGTGGGGGGGACAAAACATCACGTTAAAAACAGGAAGTCAGATCAAATMCAATTTGAGATAAAGCTTTAAAAATACGAAACAAACTGAAATCAGATAAAAGTAGTAGCAAAGCTGAAATCATCACACAAAAAGCAGCAAGAGTTTATGTTTGCTGAATTAAAAGCCGGGAATTACTGCAAAAAGTGTAGTTWGCAAAAAGCTAAAATTAGCTTAAATCAGCTAAAAGTAGCTTAAAAAGCAGAAACAATTAAAATGAAATTTGTGATAAAAATAACTAAAAAATCTGAAATGAGCTGAAAATAGCAAGAAAATAGCAAAGCAGAAAGAGCTTGTTTGCTGAAATCAGCAGTAAAAAGTTGAAAGAAGCAGAAATAAACTAAAAGTTTAAATTTTCTGATAGAAGAAAAGAGCAGAAGGAAAGCTGAAATCTGAAAATATTAAAATTGAAAAAACAAAAAAAAACAAAAAACAAAACAAAAACAAAAAAATACCACAACAAAAGCTGAAATCAGTGCAAATCAGAACCAGAACAAAAGTTGAAAAGTGCAGATTTATAAAGATTTAACATTTTGAAAAGTTAGCTAATCACAACAGCTTATTTCATTTAAAGTTCCTGTGACATGCTTATCCCTCGAATACAAAAAGTCAAAGAAAACATTTACATTTAAGAAAATTAGTATAATACACATGATTTTACCCATTTTGTCTCATAACTGGCATATTTTCTCTTGAATTTGGCTCAGCAAAGTGAAACAGGAAGTGACATCAAAGGGGAACTCTTTAAGAAAAGAAACTCTAGTCTTTGTTTATAGAAACAATCTTAATTTAAGCTTTTCTTCAACTCTGATAGTGACTCAAAACAATCTAAACAGATCCATCTCTAATTATTGTAGCAGTGCTCTGTTCACATGCAGACATTCCCCTTTGACATCACTTCCTGTTTCTTCACATGCAAATATCTCAACAAKTGTTCATCTCAACGGCMTGAAAWTTGTTTTGCAACATGTTTTCAATGTTCTCTTTCCAAAAACGCATTCACAGTTATTYCAAAAATTTGACGTCACAGGCCCTTTAAGCATCTAGATGTGGAATCAGAACAAGGTGGAAATCAGGAAAGACCCAGTTTTTAAAAAGGAGGATTTAAAAATATCTTTGACTGAATGAATGTGGCAGAAACTGATGATCACACAACCAAAACAAACAAAACAAAAAAGAGAAAATATCCAGTCTAGTACTTCCCAGTTTCAAGCTACTTGCACATCTCCAAAAGCGACATGAGTTTCACAGCATCTGACAACCTTATTATTGGGGTTTTCCTTCTTTGAGCAACAGACAGCAGAGCAGGAGGGAGGCTTCATTTCTCTGCTCAAAGCACTCTGAATGGGTTTTTATTAGTGGCAGATGACAAACGATGCAGGAAAATCTGCTTTAATTGCTTCAAACAGGGTCTGAAATATGGCATGTTTAGGAATTTCAAAGCTCAACATTTATGAAATGTTATAAATGTTACGGCTCCAGAGARCTCTGTAACCTAGCATCATGTTCACCCTCCGGAGGCTGCGGCATCAAAACGCTCACCGTCCATTCATCACTTTGTCGTTCGTCTCATGATTAAAATGCAGCGGCCGCTCCATCGGAGCAACAGATGCATCACTTTTGCACTTATTCTGTGGGGTTCCTATGACAACTGGTTGACCACGGTGAAAAGGCGAAGCAACAAGACGAGACGATCAGAGGAGGAGATGCACGCCGTACGCTAACGTGCACGACGAGCTGAGGGGGGGGAAGCGTCGGCGGGTGGGCTGAACGATGAGAGCGGAGGAGGTCGAAACCAACAAAACCAGAGTCTACGCACTCACACGATGGCAATTTTGGCAAAAAAATTATCACAATTAATTGTGGTATTTAACCGATAACGATTAATTTGACAGTTAATCCCCTGGAGTCCCTGGACACCCTCATATCCTGGTCACATGACCAGTTTAAATCATTCTAGTGGGAAAGATTTGCTCTCTGTAAAAATCTGTTCCAAACTGTGTCAAAAGTACAAAKTTCAGGCTATGTGTCTTTTTTAAAATTTTGTTGATAGACCAAGTAAAATCAGAGGTATGATGAATAAATTAAAGAATATCTCATTATATAATTAACTTTAATTTTTCTTCATATTTGAAGTGGAGAGGAGCATCGGGCGGACTGACTGGGGAAATCTCCAGTCTGCCTGGTGGCWTTAATCGTTTTAATTGCCAAGTGCCATTTTCTGGTGATTAACTGTACATAAGATTTTGCCGAAGCCTAACTCCCACCAACACTTCACATGTGGCACTACTGGTGGTACGAGCTTCAAACAGGAGTCYTGTCTAAACCAGTTAAAGTACTTTTAAAGATGCTGGAAGGCTTTTAAACAGTTTAAAAAGATTTAATATATTTATCATCCATTTTTATTCCATGTTTTTCAGCAGGTAAAACGTTCTGCAATTTTTGTACCATTTCAGCAATTTATATATTAAAATGTTCAGCTGCTTCATGACGTTCCACTGTGACTTTATGTTTTCCAACAATACTTTAACATATTTAGCTTTTTCTGCCATTTTTTTTCCTCGTTAAAAACTAATGGAACCATTTTTGTTCTGGTTTTGCTTTTGTAACTTCATTATAAATATCAGCCTACTTTAGCTTCTTGTTCTTGCAAATTTTAACTTTCTCTGCTTTTTAAGCTATTTTCAGCTAGTTTTAGATTTATGTCAGTTAAAAACACATTTTTTTAAAATATAAACTTAGCTTCTTCCTGCCTAATCAGCAAACAGGCTCTTCCTGCTTCRGTGTTCTAGTTTCTGCTTTAACTTCATGCTAARATCAGCCTCCTTTAGCTTCTTGTTTTTACTAATTTTAGCATTTTTTCTGCAATTTCAGCTGTCATTCTGCTCATTCAAATCTTTAAACTGCCAATTTTTATGCTTCTTTTAGCATCTTTAAGCTAATTAATTCCTTTTATGCAGCTGCTTTCTGGTAATTCCAGCTACTGTCTGCCTTTTTAGCCACTTTTCAAAAAGGAATTTACAGCTAGTTTTAGCTTATATCAGTTAAAAACACCTTTTTGTGATAAATTTAGCTTCTTACTGCCTAATCAGCAAACATGCTCTTCCTGCTTCTGTGTTCTAGTTTCTGCTCTAAGTTCGTTGTGCTGATATCAGCCTCATTAAGTTTCTTGTTTTATGCTTCTTTTAGCATCTTTAGGCCAATTAATTCTTTTTAGGCAGCTGCTTTCTGGTAATTCCAGCTATCTTCAACATTTTTAGCTATTTTCCGCTAATTTTAGCCTTATTTCAGTTAAAACACAGTTTTGTAATAATTTTTGCTTCTRACTGCCTAATCAACAACATGCTTCTCCTGCTTCTGTGTTCTGGTTTCTTCTTTTTTGGCTACTTTTGTTCAGTTAATTTTAGCCATTTTAGCTATTTTCAAACTAACTTTTTTGTACTTTTTTTTGTTTTCTGCTAACTTTTTTCCTCTTCTGTACCATTTGCTAATTTCAACTTGTTTCTGCTACTGTTAGCTTATTTTCGCTAATTTCAGCTACTTATACTTGTCTTTACTTCAGCAACTTTTGGTAAAAAAATTATAAATATTCACGTTGCATTTTCGCAGGAAATAAATTTTCTAGTATCTCTTTCAGATGTGAAGTGTGACTGACTCTCAGCTACTATGATGTTATGTTTTAGCTAAATATCTGTAAACATGATTATAATAACTATTTCTTAAGTTATTTATCTGTGTTGGCCATCTTTGATTGGTTCCGTTCAGAAAGTCGTTACTCATTTCTGAGTTTCACAAAAATCTATCCAGTGGTTCATGAGACGTTTTGCTGACAGAGTGACATTTTCAACAACCGTTACAGAAAACATATTAGTTGTGCGTCATTAATGTGGTGTTGAAGGCCGACACAAAGCTACCTGAAAGGTAAAATGCTGCTGAAGGTGTAACGTTATGTAAGGTTTCGTTCGATGACCTTTAAAACAAAAAGCTGCACACGAAGCCAACTCGTCCAGGCTGAGCTCTGTTGGTTTTTATATGTGACTGATTACGTGGGTGAGAGGTGGTGGATCCACAGATAAGGCCTTTAAACCGCAGACTATCATGCAAACATGTAAATGGAGCTACTGAACAGAGCGGCTCCTACACCGTCCTGCAGGCCCAATCAAATCTTAAACACCATAACAGAGACTTATCAATCCACAGCGCCGCAGTTTTTACTTCCTGAACTACACGAGGGAAGAGGTGCCGTCAGACTTTCACAAGAAGAACACAAAAAACTGTTCACGGTGCTGAGCTGAGGCCCTGGTGGTCCAAGGTCCTACACTGCTTTAYTTAAACAGCAGCTCAAACGTCAGAGGAGGGGACAGGTTTGAGGGGTGGGAGGATTCAGCCTTGGTTTTCAGCTGTAGTTTTTATTTTTGAGCATTTGTAATTCTACCAAGTTTTTTTTATTAAATGCAACTTTTACTTTAATTTTGTTACATTCAAAACATAAAAATGATACTTTTACTTCTTTACTGTAAAATTTAACACCTCGTTACACGTTACCAATTTAAATATCGGTATAATATCGGTTTTCAAGATGGCGGCGGTGGTGGCAGATGTATGTAGCTGTGCAGTATCGCTGCAGGAAAATACATCCTATTTGGCTTTACAGGCATCTGCAAGTCTGTTTTTGACCAAATTTACCTCAGCTTTAGTGTTGCTGTTACTCTGTATGCTACATAAACGGAAGATCAAAGACGCAAATGATGGACATCTGCCTGGAAAGCTGCCTTTTTGATATTTGGTATGCTTGTTTGTCTTTGTGTCTATGGTGTAATTATAATGATGTGATTGTGATGCTGTAATTCTG